AATACAAAATTGATCACTGAAACAGAAGAGAAATCCTAGGTTCACTTTTGATTATATGTATTTTTTTTGTATGCTTTTGAAACTTGCAGTTTCACTTTCAAAGACGCCCCTTTCATCGGAAGTCTTAGGGTGACCAGACGTGCTCTCCCGATAGCCTATAACCAGGGTCCAGCCTGTGCTTCTGCCAGGGCAGGACTGGTGATCGCGTGCCATAGAGGAACATGCTTGTGGGATGTCTGAGCTAGTGTTGTAGCAGTGCAAGAACACAGGTTATGCTAAGGACACCCGAGCTGGGGGAGGGGGGGTTGTTTAATGTACAAAAGGAAAAAAAAAAGTCCATTCCCATCTGTCTGTGCATCAGGAAGAAAGTGTTTGTGGTTCGCTCAGAAGGATGAACAGCCACGGCAGAGTGCCTGATTACTTTAAAGGGTCATTGTGTCATTACCCCCCAAATGCATTTTAAAAAATACTGTAGAATAGATCATAGTAAGAATTTTTAAAAAATGTAAATCTCTATATAATATTGTTCCTTTATTGTTTACAAGCACGTTTTTGTTTTTATTTTTCTCCATCATGTTTCTGTTCACAAATACACAAACTCAATTCCAGTGGTTCTTCAGTTGAAAAAAAATCTGTATACTAGATGGAAGCAAATCTCCTTATCTCCCCAAATTTAACAACAGGGTCTGTTTCATTTTGGAATCCCCTTTGAATTTTGTTGCCCCTCAGCTAAACTTTGAAAACACATTTCTTAAATGACTTTTTTGTTTTGCACAGTCCTGTTGGTGAATGTTTACCTGTAAATGTAAGAGTCCCTACATTTTTTTCTTTTTTGTGTGTGTTGGCGTGCATGCATGCGCACGCTCAAACACAGTCGGGCCCATGGAGGAGGTGTGTGTCGTAGTTCTCTAGAACGCTTGTCTTGCCCTCAGTCACCTTTCTTGTTAAAAGAAATGTTGTTGTTGCCTTGTCACAACTCGTGACTTTATAATTTATTTGTCTTGCTTTGCCAAACTTTCACCAAATATGACATCTTTATTCTTTTCTTTTCCAATCTTAGGTTTATTAAAAGTACAAATGCCTTATTTAGTGTTATGTATATGGATGTTTTGTTACATCTCCATATCAGAAAGTATATATTAAAGTACTTAACTAGAATAGAGTTTGATCTTATCAAAATTGAAAGTTGTTCTCAGTCACACTGGTCTGCTCTAAACTTCCCTTTAGTTGGATTCATACTTGGTTCACTAATTGCATATTCTAAGGTAGAATTTATATGGTTCAGATTCCACAGATGAAGACACTCATTGTGGATTGTGAGTTCAGTATAGTCTTGACTAACAGACCCCTGCTCCCCCCCACCAAAAACCGCTTTTTAAATACTCCCTTCAAACACACATGGTAAACAGCAGATTGCTGTTGATCCTCATCCTTTGTCAAGACTTTTTAACACTGTCTTGATAGCATAATTTTGATGTTGACAATCATTTTCTAATGGCCATTTGATCAAATCATTGAAGCACCTTCAATGGAAAAGCTGCTAGTTTCAGCAATTCCCAAATCCATGCTTAACACATACCCACCGACTAATCACTGGGTGTGATTGACAATGGTGAATGTCACCATGCTTTTTTGAATTGGTGAATCGCAAGTATTGTAATGCAATTTGAGATTGTCAGAAGAGTATGAAATCCTCTTGAAAAATTTACTTACCAAATTAAGCCTCAAATAATTAAACTGACAATCTGAACATGTGTATGAATACAACTAAAGTGGATGTAGCATTTAATTTATAGGTCATCCTAATGCAAATCTCTTCTGCCTGTCAGATGCATATTGTCTTGCAAAAACGTTTGACTATTCTTAATATATATATAAATAAATATATACATATATAAGTATATCTATCGTCAAATGAAAAGCCCCAAAAGAATTGGGAATACAACTCAACCAGATGTAAAATGAAAAGTATGCTTTATCCCGTAACTTACAAACCCATATCCATTTCACATAACTCCATTACTCATGTGAAGACTTGAAAGTGGTGCAGTCAATGAGTACAGTTAAGTTGATGAATATTTATTCAGTTACAGTCATTGAGTCATGTCACCATTTTACCTTGCGTTTCTTTTTTTTTTATAATTTATCCAAAGGTCAGATTGTTTTTGGGTCATTTGTATTTCAGAAATATTTATTGTACGCTTCTGTCTTACCCGTTTCATTTTATATCTATTCTAACTTATAAGAATTCAGAAGGAAAACTAAGAGGTTCTGAAGAATTTCTGCTTCTGACATGGTTTTCCTCTTTAAGGTTATGTTTATTTTTTGATCATATTTTTGCCTCCAGTGGAAGCAGGAATAGTTTAAAAAAATACTTAAATGTACTGATAACAGAATTGGCAAATATGCCCGCTCCTTCTGAGTACATAATAGCCTGCAACTTTATCTTATGGCTAAATTATAAAACAGTTTCCCTTTCAGCTGAAAATAGCCCCATGTTTCAGCATACTGAAGTGCACTTTACTTGTGCATATAAACTATTGTTACATTATCTTGTTAGTGTAGGGTTTTAGATTTTCTACAGTTTTGGGTTGTTACAGAACATCCCAGCCTTTCTTTCTTTTATTTATTTATTTTATTTTTTTGCTGTAGTAGCTGGTTTTACGTACGTGTGTATGTATGTGTGTGCGAGTGTGTAGATGCAGGATGCTGCATTTGGTATCCTGTCGTTTGTCTTTGCATACCTGAACATGCTAGCTATCACCTTGATGGAAAATACGTTCACGTCTCACAGATGGCTCTGTACTCAGAGGGAGTGTCTATGCATGCTCTGAGGTTCTGTTCTGCAACCGCTTGCATTAGGAGGGTAGTTTTCAGCTCATGCAGTCAAGGCCAGTGTTCACCAAGTGGATGTACTGTAAGCTCTTAGTTTCATTGAACCAAGGGTACTGTATTTGGGATCATATGCTACAAAAAAAGAAAAAAAGTGTACTCTGTGTTGGTCTGAAATCAGCAGCATTTTTACAGCATTGTGGTTTTATTTTTATTTTATTTTATTTTTGTTGAACTAGCTCCTGTATTCCCATGTGGACCAATCACTTAACTCAGAACATGGTATGTGATCTTTTATTGTGCAATAAAAGATGACTTTCAACTTTTGTATGATGTACTGGATTTTAAAGAAGTTTTATGAGTTAAAAGTGTTTGACATGACTGAATCTATAATCTATCAGTGTGATGCATTAGCTGAAAGCTGTCTGATGACATCAACATTAAAACAGTGGGGATCTTTTTCAAGCCTTGTAGGTAAACATTTTGAAATATTTAGTATCCAGTTTAAGATAAGATCAAACTCTTGTACTGTGCTGAATCTGAGAAATAATCAGCTAAAGTGGTATATGTCGATAGATATACACGTTTATCAAGTTCCAGCTATCCCTTATTAGGTAGCTAGTTATGCGTACATACAAGGGCAGTTTGTATTTACATAAAATTGCTGAATCGACAAACTGCCCTTGAACGCACTAAGTTTGGTATAGGCTGATTAAAACAGTCTATCTCTACATTGTAAATTAACGTTTATAAGACTTTGGCGGGCAGTCTGCCTAACTTTACTATTGTGATAAATAGTGTGGACGGACTACATTGCGTGTAAGAACAGAATGTCTTTGAGTTGTGATTCGGCTCCCTTTCGCGCCAAATCGTGTCGCAAAGCATTGTGGGATAGCATCTGAAAGCTGGAGGACCGACTCCTGGAGTGGCGTTCTTGTTGCTCGTTTGTAAACTATTTATGTCCTTTCGTGTCGAAACCTGAAAGATTCAAATGCGAGAAAACGAAACGGATTCCGAGTCCGGGAAAGCGGACATGAGCTCTGTCCGGAAAACCCTGGAAACTATCTGTCAAGAACTGAACATGGACGAGGAAACGGCAACCGAAGCCTTGCAGAATTTCACTACGATCTGGGATACATACACTCTAGAGGTGAGTTAGCTAGTTTGCTAAAAACGACTTTCTGGAATTATAGCCTAGCTAGCGCAACGTCCAGACATATCGCTTGGTTAAGTAGTTGTATAGCTTGCTTGCAACAAACTAGCTAAAAGAATGAAGTTCACAGTGATTAGCAAATAAGTTAGATAAACAAATACTCTGGCTTCTTGCAACATTTTTCCCCAGTTCCAGCAAGACATTGTGTTTACACTCGGGTGTAGGTTATGAAGTGTAATAACACTGTATAGCCAGTCTAACTAACCAAGTTAGGGTACCTATATTGTATATATTCCAATGTCTTCACTGCCCCTTTAAATTAGACAGGAAAGCAACGTGCCAGCTTGGTGGCTAGTTAGACTTCCTAACCAAACTATACAAACAACGGTGCCTAATTAGCAAGAAAGGTCCTCGACAATTGTCGCTAGCATTTCTGTGTAGCTACCTAGACGTCCGTCACCATGGGTGGACTTTTTCGTGTTTTCATACAGAGAAAGTAGCTAGCTAATGGTTAGCTAGCTGGTTTGCGTGCCTGCCATGTTTGTTTGCAAGCAAGTTGGCTAACGTTAGCTAGTTAGCCAGCTAGCGAGATTTCTGCACAGCTTTAATTGATTGAAGCATAGGTAAAACTAACTGAAAATTCATGGCGTTCAGGGACGTATCTTTTTAGTTTGATTCAAGTAGTTAGGGTTTCGCTACGCTAGGTGGTCTACCTACATTAGCCACGAAGTGTTTACTTAATTTTCTGAGAATCGAATTTTATAGGATTTCTTACAGGTAACCAAAGTACGGTTAAGTGACCCACCGGCATTAAGTGACTTTACTGCTGACCGACTTTAACTGGCGGCACGGTCTGGCGTTAGTGCAGTGCATAAGAAGAGACCCATTCACAAACATTACTGTTATTTAGCAAACGACCCACGTAGATCACCGTTTTACATATTATCCATTTACACAGCTGGATATATACCGAGGCATTTTTGGGTTAAATATCTTGCCAAAGCGTACAACGGCACGGCCCTAGCAGGGAATCGAACCGGCAACCTTTTCGATTATGAGTTAACTCATTTCCACTACACCATACTGCCGACAACAAAGCTTCAGACCCGGGTTTTGTCATGTTTGTCCTACTGTGAGAGCCATGTGTTTGGACCAGCCTCAACCCAGCTAGCTGGTACAAATGGCTTTTTTGGAACCAGACTTATTACCCCTGTGCTCATTAATGGTGCTGTTGAATCCCAGGCACTGTTATCCTATCACCTCTTGTTTTTCTAAATCTCCTGGGATCCAAGGATGGGTTGCAGTGGATTTAAACTGGGTTGCCAAGCCAAGGTGAAGATCTGTAGTGTAGACCTCTCGAGTAAAAATGCATTTCTGTTTGCAATACATCACATGATGTAATTATTTAGAAGCTTGTTCTCATTATAATTATGCTGCAGGTACGGAGAACCTTGCTCTGATAATAGCCTACTTATTAGGTATTTATAGGCTGACTGCACTGTCTTGATGTTCTTCCCTCCAGTAAGTGGTGAGCTGTTCTTTCAACTCTGTTCTCACAGAGCTCTTCTCACTTAGTGTTTCACAGTGTCCCTCAGTGTCCTTTTCCATGCATGTACCCTCCCAGGAAATAAGATAATTTTGGCTAACTATTTTAGAGGCTGATGTATATGAACGACGGATGACTTCAGTTTGTTTAACAATCAGCCTCACAGAGAGTACTAAATTGGTTGTCATGGTAGTGCAAATTTGTGGGGACTGCTTAGTTCATATAGGAGACAAAGTAAAGTCAGATCAGAATTCAGGGAATTTGACAGGTAGCTAAATAGCTGGCAAGTTAACATTATGTCCCATTGCTAACAAGTTCCTAAGCTATGTTTTGGTTCAAAAAGCAGGCAAGCGAAGGACAGGCATTCATCACACAGTAGTAGAGTTCAAGACTCTGAAAAGATAAAACTGCAACCTTTCTCCAGAGCATATCATACATTGAATATTTCTTCATTTCTGCTGATGGTAAATGTCCACCAAACTGTTGCATGCGGTTGTAAAACAACTTCAAAGTAACAGTAGTATGAAAACATTGAACAGGTTGAGGCGTAACCAGACAACCCCGAAGAAAACAGATGACTAAGAGTGAGCTGGCTATTAAAACATTGGAGTAAACAGATGCATTGCGATTTCATTGAGTAGAGAAACGTTTAACTATCATTACCAAGTGTGTCAATGGTATATTTTTAACTGTGTTAATAGTTTGTTATAGACTAGAGAATACAGGATAATTGCATTTTTAAATGTAGAATTTGTTTTCCGAAAATAAGGGTTTGGCCACTGATTTTAGTTATGTTGAAGAAATAATATTTCAGTTCATGTTGATGAACTCTAAAGTAGCCAACAAAGCTAAGTAGCTCGCTAGCTAATACCAACTGCATTAAACCATATTAAAATGTGCTTTAAAAGGTAGAAAAATGAATGTACAACAAGAGCTCACTGGAAGCTGCGACACAAACAGGAAAAACTGAGACAACACATAAGTCTAGTTAGGTCTATCTACAGACTAGTTAGCTATCTTGCTCCAAAACAAGCTTATGGTTGATTTTTTTCACAGTATAGTTTCACCTTGGACAGTAGAGTTTTTGACACATGACCTAATGTATATGCCTACATAAATCTGGCTATAAATGCTTACTTAAATAAATATTTATGTTTCCTAAATTCTTTTGTGTAACATGGTCCTATGTTGTGGTCCCATTTTTACTATTTACATTATGTTGAGAACATTTTACAGCATCTATAATGCCATCCATTTACATAATTATATGCACCCCAAGAGCATCTGCTAAATGAGTAATTGTTAAATGCATTGACCCTAAATTGCAGTGTTTCTACCTTTCTGATCTCAGGCCCCCAGAGCAAGTGTTAGTAGCATTGTGAATCTTCTGCCTTTGCCAGTCTAAGCTCAGCCTTAGTCATAAGCAGCTTTTTCATAAACACTGGCTTGTGCTCTTTGCCGTTTCTCCAGGGGGAGGTGGTGCACTGGTTGGCCTGCTCTCTCTATGCAGCCTGCAGGAAAGGGTGGACACCCACAGTGGGGAAGGGGGTAATGGAGGGCAACTGTGTGTCCCTTACCAGAATCCTGAGGTCCTCCAAACTGAGGTAAAGCACTCATTTTTGTCCACTATTTTTTTTTATTGAACTCAATGGAATGTTGATTTTCTGGTCCGTTTGTAACTCTTTGTCTGTCTTTTTACATTTTCAGTCTAATTCAGTTCTTCAGTAAGATGAAGAAGTGGTCGGACATGTCTAATTTGTCCCAGGATTTTCGAGAGCGAATCGGGCGCCTTGAGAGGAATTTTGAAGTGTCGACAGTGATCTTTAGGAAGTTTGAGCCCATATTCATGGACATGTTTCAGAACCCCCAAGGAGAGCCGCCTCGTCAGCCAAGAAGCCGGAAGCACAGGTGTTCAGTCAATCCTTTTTGGTGCTATTCACGTGTGCTTTGCTACCTCAGACATTACCCATAGCAGTTACAATGCTGAAGCTTTTTTCTGATGTCTTGGTTGACATTTTAGACTGATACTAACCTCTACCTTTCTTTTTAGACGTCTGCCCTGTCACATAAGTGATGTGTTCAAATTTTGCTGGACCCTGTTTGTCCACACAAAAGGTAAGGTTCCATTTCGCTCCTTAAACTCTTTGTACAGATCCATCCCAACATGTTTAGAGTAGTGTTTGTAGCGCTGTTATTTGAAGAGATGGAGTAGCATGGGTTTGATAGCTAAGTAAATTGATTAAACTTTCATTGATTTGTCCTCTCTGGCCTTTTTTGTAGGAAATTTCCATATGATTGGAGATGACCTGGTGAATTCGTACCATCTCCTCCTCTGCTGCCTGGATTTGGTGTTTGCCAATGCCCTGCTCTGTGCCAACAGGAAAGACCTTATTAACCCCAACTTCAAAGGTAACAGCTTTTTACAGTTTGGAAACCCATTTATTCAGGGGTCTAGTACAGTTTATATTTCATGTTACCCGTTTGCACAGCAGGGTATAGCAAGACACAGTTTGCGGGTAAATGCCTTGCAACAGTGGCCTACCTAGGATTTGCATGTGCAACCTTGTGGTTACAAACCTAGTTCCATTAACAGTATCTTTGTTTAATGGATGACCACTGCTAAATGTATCAGTTTCTTATTTGCATGGTTTTCTTCTGTGTGTTGACAGGGTTACCCAAAGACTACCATAGTCCTGATTACTCTCCCCCAGAGGAGGTTCCCTGTGTCATTGAAAGGCTGTGTGAGTTGCATGATGGACTGGTTGTTGAAGCAAAAGGGATTAAAGAGCACTACTTCAAGCCCTACATTAAAAAGCTCTTTGAGAAACAGGTAACGGGTCTTTTTATTGTGACCTCTAGCCACCTGCCCTAACTGAGAACTGAAACAGTCTGACGAGTCAGAACCTTCCCAGTCACATTCATTTAAGTTCTCTTCAGTAGTTATTCTAACCTTTGATTACTGCTCAGTGTTACACTTTGTACAGATCCTTAGGTGAGAAATTTTAACAGATGACATTTGTATTCAGCAGTTCCCTGGAGGAAAGCAATGTTGTTTTTTGTTCCGGTAGAAATTGAGCTTGTATTTTAAAAGCACAAGGTACAGAACTGGCTTACCAGATAGAATCAGGTGAATTCCACTTATCTGTGTGGTGCAAATTCAAAGTGTATTACTTTTTTCTGTTTTGTTGAAGATTTTGAAGGGGGATGAGGAAACGCTCGCAGAATTGTTGGATGCTCCCAACTTCACCGACAACAAGTAAGCCCAGATTTGGACATAACGTCTGTCATCTTGAATGAATTGCCAAGTTGTACTGTCATCGTCTGTTGCATTCTCCAGTCTAATTACCACAGTACATCAAGATGTGTCTCTAACATAAAACTGACCCTCAGACTGACAAGAGAATCAGGATGGTCTTAACCAGTGTTTTACAATCTAGAAAACAGCTATTATGTGAGAGGTTAAAAAATGTAATATCACTGATCGTATGGTGTCCCGATAGCCTCTTCGCTTTCTGTTCCCCCCAGTAAAGCAGTAAACAGAGAGTACGAGGAGTATGTTCTGACGGTGGGGGACTTTGACGAGCGGGTGTTTTTGGGAGCGGACGCAGACGAGGAGATTGGCACACCTCGCAAGGCGGCCACAGAGCCTCCCGAGGGACGGCTGTCTGCCCGCATGCAGGTGGAGTGCAACCTGCAGCAGCACTTTGAGAAGGTACTCCATTACAGCCGCAGCAGAGAGAACAGAGGCCTCTGTATTTGCCTGTGTGATACATTTTTAATAACCATTCAAAATAATGAATGCTGAACTGACATCACTACCTCGTAACAAATTGTGTGGATTAATTTGTCATGACAGACATAACATTTACATTGTTTAATTGTTTATGAGATGCCCTTATCAAGGGTGACATGTGTAGTTTAAATTTTACATGCTTGCTATTTGTAGCGTTATGCTCTGTAATGCAATTAAGGTGAAGTGCCTTGCTTAAGTGTATAGCGGCATTACAACCACAGAGAGACTGAGTCACAAACCCATTATTACACGTACAGTTCTGGAACCACACTGGTGAATTCAGACCTGTGAAGAGGGCCGCATCATTGAGACCCGTGCTCCCTGTTTATTCCTCTGCAGACACGGTCCTTCGCCCCCTCCACCCCTCTGACGGGGCGGCGTTACCTGAAAGAGAAGGAGGTGCTCGTGACGCCGGTGTCCTCGGCCACGCAGAGCGTCAGCCGGCTGCAGAGCATGGTGTCCGGACTGCGCAACGCCCCCAGCGAGCAGCTTTTGCAGATCTTCAGGTGAGGAGCGCTTCAGAATGTAAAACTGGGGTGTTTAAGGGCCTCACCGTTTGCTCCTAAATTGCGACTCCACAAAGTCAGCCTGCTCCCTGGTGCTTTCTGCTTCGTCGTTATTGTATACAGGTAGTTCTCGGCATGTATTCATTTCAGGTATTGTTTACTTTCTGAAGGTCATGTTCGCGAGACCCTACAGAGACTATTCTGAACAGAGTTAAGTCCCTGGGGGAGACTTTCCGTCAGCAT